CGGGGCCGGCGCGGCGGGAGCGGCGCGCGCGTGGGCCGGGACCGGCACCGGGACCTCGCGCGGGAAAATGGGGAGAGGCTCCTCGTGGCTGCAGGGACTCTCTCGGCTTGTGCCGGTGGCGGGGCCGCGCGCCGGCTCTGGAAGTCGTCGTGGTTGGCTGCGCGGAGTCGGGCAAGCCCGCGCCGCGGGAAGGGGGTGGCGCCCGGTGCTGCTGCCGCTGCTCCCACGGCGGGACCGGCTGCGAGCGGAGGCACGGCATCGGCTGGACGAGAGGGCATCGTCGTAAGCTGAGCCAGGGAAGGTGTAGCTTGGACATCAGGAGGAATCTCTTCACGAGAAGCGTTGGAATGGGCTGCCCCAGGAGATGGTGGAGTCACCGTGCCTGGAGGGGTTTGAGGACAGACTGGACATGGCACTCAGTGCCCTGGGCTGTTTGGCGTGGTGGTGTTGGGTCGCAGTTGGGTTGATCTGAGAGGTCTTTTCCAACCTGATTGATTCCGTGGAGGGGAAGGGAAACTTTCTCTCCCGGATCTTCCAAGTTTTTGGTTTTTTTGAATTTTTTCCCTTGTGGTGTTAGTTGTTCTTAAAAAAGCTCTGCCGTCTCCCTGCAAATGTCACCCGTAGCTCGCATTATCTCACTTAGGATGTTATTTCTCTGACTGCCTGTGTACGATGGAAGGTTAGTGCTGGGTGGCCGTTTCCAGTTGTCCTGTTCCGGACACTTTATATGCAGCAGAAACTTGTCCCATTCATCGCCTGTAAATCTGTGCTGCCCGTAGCGCGGTGCCTGTAACAATGATTTTCAGCTTTGCCTCTTGAGGGCGTTTCATGAAAATGAAACTCCGGGCTGAAAGGATACGTCATGAGCTGTGAAAATACCGGGCTGCTGTTTCTGCACAATTCCCAAATGGTGCTGAATGGTGGTGTTTAATGGTCCCTTTATCCTTTTTCAAGCTGGTGTTCCTCTGGGTTTTTTTGTTTGCTGGCGTTTTTTCTGCTCTGACTGCTTGATGTTAATGACAGCCGTAGCAAAGTTGGGATATGTCAGTGAGCTCTCAGGAAATGGGATTGCAACTTTATCCTCAGAAGCTCTTTATTTTAAAGCTATTTTGTATATACCTCTGGCAGTTAGTAGTTAGAGTAGAATTTCCTCCAGCTGTTAATGAAGTGCTGTGTAAATTAATAGGCTGTATCAAGCTGGTCTTTTGTGTATTTGGCCTTGTTTTTATTGTAACTTCATTAGTGTTCTCCTTTCAGTGTTACCACCTGCATTGCCATGTGAACTAGCTCATTCAAAACGAGTTTTGAAGTTTCTACTTGAACTGTGCTTGCACCTTTTAATTACCCTTTAGACATACCCATCGGCACAGGGGAAATGAATCGTAGCTTGAGGCACGGTAACTTCAGATGACACACGAGGTAGGGATTTTTCTCAGCATGGATTTTCTTGTCACAGTCTCTCAGAGAGATTCAGTGATGCTTCCCTTCTGAGAGATGTGACTGTTTTGGGGCTTGGCATCCCCCCACTGACCCCCAACTTCAGAGCAGAGTCTTTGTTACATCCCATCTCTCACTGACTCTGTACCACGGTGTTCACCTCTTGCTGTCAGTGTGCCATGTGCTGATTTTTTCCAATGCTGTGTTCTCTGTGTTGGTGACTTCAGAGCTGGCATGCTCATGTGGTCCTGTATATTCAGCTGAGTGCTGGCTCCTGGGGAAATCCCAGTTTAGTCCATTTGGAAATGGAAAGGCAGCAACAGCCCATGGGCAGCAGCACTGGCCCAAGTCACCACAAGAACTAAAGTCCTTCAGTCACTTGTAGCAGTTTCTGAAAGGTTCTTTATAGAAACTTCTAAGTGTAAATGTTTATTTAAGCAGGTTATTTGACAGCCTTATTTCAGCTTTGGTGTTTCTATACTGTGCTCTTTACTTTCTTTTTTTTTTATTTCTTCCCCTTCTGTTGAATAAGCTCATGTTAATAGAATGATACATTTTCTTAATGGTCCTGTTTCTGCAGGCTTGCTTTAAAATCTTTCTGTTTGTCTCTCAAAAGGGTTGTGAATTTTTTCTTCTGAAGTGTTTCACAAGTTCTTGAGGGGGCTCAATTTCTATCTTTAAGAGCACAAAAGTGTACCTTTAAAGGCAACTAAAAAAGTTCTTAAGTTGAAAAATGTAACTTTTGTGGCAAGAGGTGAATGGCTGTAAGCCAGTGCCTCCCTGAAAAACTGAAATCGAGTTTTTCCAAAATAGCATATAGCACATAAAAACCCCGAGTGATGTGATTTAGGGCTAGGGGCTTTAATGTTAATTTGCAACATCAGAGAAATAGAAGAGCAGCAGCAAATAGCTTAATTTATTGTATTTGTTTAAATACTTCTGAAGGCCAAAGGAAATAGTGAACGAGCCTAGTAGGCTGTGAGCAAGTAAAGAAAAAAAAAGATATTAAAGGAATTACACACTTGATGAAATATTCTAAGTGGCTGAAATATCTGCACAGGAGGTTCTGGAATGATGTAATGGACAAACAAGTTAGAAAGAGCAGACCACCTCTTTTTCAGAGAACAAGTGGAAGCTGAACTGATAGAAAAAATTATTCAGCTTCATACTAAGGAGCGAAAGCATAATAGATGTACTTGTTTATAATAATACTAATGAAGAAATGCTGATGTAAATTACAGAGAATGGAGGCAGCATTATGAAAGCAAGTCAGTTTTTTTCTGCTCTGAATAAAAAGACCCTTGTCACAGTTTTTAGTCTGTTAAGCAAGTAAGTGGATTAAACTGCTCGATGTTATTTCTAAGAATAAATGTGGAGTTTTCAAGATACAAAATGCTAGCAGTAGAATGCAAGGCCTGTAGAAGTATCAGTGCTTTTAAGTTATTGTTGACAAGGTAAAGGGACTCTGGAAAAACAGAAGAGGTAATTTTAAGCTAAACACTCTAAAAACTTCTACTGAATATAAAATCTGTAGACCAGTAGGACTGGAAATGATATTATGCCACCTCCTGAATGTCTTAAATTGCATTAAACACTGTGCAGAGTTAATAATTCATTTTGAGGATAAAAAGTAGAGGTAGTCTAAGAAGGTGACAGTAAATTTTCTTTCACCAGAATTGATTTATAAGGGATGTTAGTAGCAGGAAGGTATGAAAAAGTCTTAGAAAGTTGTGGTAGACTGCACATCACAGGGTCGCTTCTGCTGGTCTGTTCATGTTAGACAGGAATAAATGGAGTTCCGTGACAGAAGAAATTTGGTTTGGAATAATGTGAACTCTTTATTGAAACAAAATTATTGCTTAGTGTCATCCAGAGGCAGAGGCTGAAGCTCATTGGAACTGAAAGACAACTGTTCCTGGATGTGTGTGGAGAGTTACGGACTCTGAGCTTTCAGAGTGGGACATGAGATTGAAGATTTAGCCAGTCACCTGCTGCTGACAGCTTCCTTGTGAGCCAGAGTATTTATTTTCTCTGTTTTTGTGCTTTTTTTTGGTAGTTCAGAGTGCTTGTCAGGCTCAGCAGGAGGATTCATGTGTTTTGTGAGATGCCAACTGGTTTGATACACACAGATCTTTATTTTATTTTGTATAAAGTTGAGATTATATGTAAGTGATGTGCTGCTTCTAAAACCATAAAATAAATACCCTGTGGCTAAACATCCTGAACATATCTTAAAACAGGGCTTTGTAAGCCTGTCAAATTTAGTGCTAAGGTAACACTTGAAAGGAAATTCACCTGTTGAATTATGAAAATGGGCAAACAAGCCACCTATTAGTGGATCACAAACTATAAGTATCTATAAATAAAGTGCTGTAATGATATTGTGATTAACATTAGGTTGTTGTGGTTTTTGTCTGAAAAGCAGACAAAAGGGTCAGGCTGCCTCTTAAAAGACACAGGGATTCTTTGTAGAGCTTCCACATGATTTTTTCTTCAACTGCCTATGTGTTCTTATTCTACCTTTTTTTTGGTATTGATAAGTTACCAGAAAAGAGAAAGAGGTGTCTCTGTGAATGTGCTGTTAGTTGGATTCAGGAGCTTTTGGTAGGAGGGTATTGGGTGCAAATGGGGTGAGGGAGGCAGAATGAAGCTTGGAAGTGCTTGTGGGTTTTGGCTCCCTGTGGCTGACACCTCAGTGCTTTGTGACTCTTTCATTGCTGATGTCCAAAGCTAGGATGAAATCAGAAGAATTTTGATTTACTGTTATTTTGTTGGTTTGCACACATATCTTCCATAGTGCTGAGTCACAGCAAATGATACAATTGTGGCAGGCAGATTTGTCATCATGGGAAGCATGAGGTAGCTTTGCTTTCAGTGCCTTCTGATATTTCCAACCCTAAACAAAAGCTGCTTGAAACTACAAAGTCAACTTAATTAATAATTTAGTTTATTTTTAACCTAATTTGTTTTAAACTGTCAGAGATTTCGTTTTGTTGTGTGAAATTCTGAAAGGTGCACTCTTGTTCACTCATAAATAATGTTTAAGGCAAGTTAGGATTTTGGAAATGTTAGAGTGATCTTCTTTTCTGACAGATGACTGTCAAATGTGGTTTTTCAAGCAGTCCCTCTTTTAGATGTGACCTTACAGAAAATACATGGTTGGCCAGTCCATTTTGTGAATGCTGGGAGGATGTGCTGTAATCTTGATCAAAATACAAATGTATCTCCTCTTCAAAAGAAAAACAGATTACCTTTTCATTTGGCGCACAGGAATAATCACTTCTGTTGTTTCATGTGGACAGGCACATTTATATGAGGTTATTCTTTTTTTAATGTCAGTATAAGCCTGTGGCTGAATAGTTTAATTCCCCATCACTTACTGCTTTGTGTTGTGACTTGTGGGACCTTTTGGTTCCAGGTTGATTGTGGACTGT